AAGGCACTCCCAGGACACAGTGTCTCATCAGTCATTGCTGCATCTTCAATAAAGGTAAGTGTCATTTATTCTTCATTTAGTAGAGTAGTACATGCACAATATATACTGTGCATGTACTACTCTACTATTGTGCATGTACTACTCTACTATTGTGCATGTATCCTTCTCTTTGTGTGTAGGAAAATGTATATTTCATGTGGTAAAAATTTTTTTTTCATACTTTTGGGTGTCTTGCACGGATTAATTTGATTTCCATTATTTCTTATGGGGAAAATTCATTCGCATAACGATAATTTCGCATAACAATGAGCTCTCATGAACGGATTAATATCGTTATGTGGGGGTCCACTGTACTACTCACCTCTCTCCCTACATTAAGATTACAAATACTTTAAGATAAGTAATGAATTTACTGTGACTGTATTTTACTTTGTGTTTTTAATGCCTAGTTCTATTACTAACATAATATAATTTGGTGTAAACTTGTTGTCTGGCATTTATATGCATTTATAAATGGAAAAAATGGAGTTCTGCCTTCCGGCGATGTCTGCTTTCCGGCGACAGCCTGGAACCTAACCCACCGTATAAGTGGGGCCCTACTGTATAAAAAATGTAACCATAATCTTACTAGACTATAACCCAAATTATTTTTCTGAATTCTTGAACTGAACTGAACTAAAGTTCTTGAACTGAATGTCATCTAATACAAAAAAAAAAAAAGTACCCAATGTCATCTCCCAATCGTTAAGCAATTGATTGTGTACCCTTTCGGTAAATAAACAAACCTGTAATTCCTCTCAATTAAACTTGTTAAAGCCATAGATCATGAACTATTAGAATAATCAATTCTCTTGTATTCATTGTAAACTCCTAAATTTACATTTACTGTTATTGCCTTATTAATCTTAAGCTAGTCTTAAGTTTGCCCAAAATGTTCTGCATATTTTTTTTTTTTTTAACAAGTTGGCCATCTCCCACCGAGGCAGGGTGACCCAAAAAAGAAAGAAAATCCCCAAAAAGAAAATACTTTCATCATCATTCAACACTTTCACCACACTCACGCATTATCAGTTTTTGCAGAGGTGCTCAGAATACAACAGTTTAGAAGCATACACATATAAAGATACACAACATATCCCTCCAAACTGCCAATATCCCAAACCCCTCCTTTAAAGCACAGGCATTGTACTTCCCATTTCCAGGACTCAAGTCCAACTATATGAAAATAACCAGTTTCCCTGAATCCCTTCACTAAATATTACCCTGCTCACACTCCAACAGATCGTCAGGTCCCAAGTACCATTCGTCTCCATTCACTCCTATCTAACACGCTCACGCACGCTTGCTGGAAGTCCAAGCCCCACGCCCACAAACCCTCCTTTACCCCCTCTCTCCAACCCTTTCGAGGACGACCCCTACCCCGCCTTCCTTCCCCTATAGATTTATATGCTTTCCATGTCATTCAACTTTGATCCATTCTCTCTAAATGACCAAACCACCTCAACAACCCCTCTTCTGCCCTCTGACTAACGTTTTTATTAACTCCACACCTTCTCCTAATTTCTACACTCCAAATTTTCTGCATAATATTTACACCACACATTGCCCTTAGACAGGACATCTCCACTGCCTCCATCTCCTAACTACAGCATTTACAACCCAAGCTTCACACCCATATAAGAGTGTTGGTACCACTATACTTTCATACATTCCCTTCTTTGCCTCCATAGGTAACGTTTTTTTCTCTCCACATATACATCAACATACCACTTGCCTTTTTTCTTTCATCAATTCTATGATTAACCTCAGCCTTCATAAATCCATCCACCGACACCTCAACTCCCAAATATCTGAAAACATTCACTTCTTCCATACTCCTCTCCAATTTGATATCCAGTTTTTCTTTATCTAAATCATTTGATACCCTCATCACGTTACTCTTTTCTATGTTCACTTTCAACTTTCTCCCTTTACACACACTCCCAAACTCTTACCCTAACTTTTGCAATTTTTCTTTAGAATCTCCCATAAGCACAGTATCATCAGCAAAAACTAACTGTCAATTCCCATTTGGTATTTGACTCCCCATAATTTAATCCCACCCCTCTCCCGAACACCCTAGCATTTACTTCTTTTACAAGCCAATCTATAAATATATTAAACAACCATGGTGACATTACACATCCCTGTCTAAGACCTACTTTTACTGGGAAGTAGTCTCCCTCTCTTCTACACACCCTAACCTGAGTCTCACTATCCTCGTAAAAACTCTTTACAGCATTTAGTAACTTACTAACTATTCCATTATAGATACATGTACTTGCAACATTTATCACATTGCTCCGCTATCCACTCTATCATATGCCTTTTTTAAATCCATAAATGCAATGAAAACTTCCCTAACTTTCCATATGGTGTACATATGGCGTACAAATATACCTAGTTGGATGAATCTTATTGCGGCTAGCTGGTCTAGTGGCTAACGCGATGGGCTGGAGTTTTGAGACTCTACGACCGCGGGTTCAATCCCGGCCGGGGGTATGGTTTGTTTGCAATCGTGTCATTACGATTTCTTGAGTCAAGTTCCCTAACTTTATCTAAATACTGTTTACATATATGCTTCAATGTAAATACATGATCTACACATCCCCTACCCACTCTAAAGCCTCCTTGTTCATCCGCAATCCTACATTCTGTCTTACCTCTAATTCTTTCAATAATAATCCTACCGTACATTTTTCCTGGGATACTCAGTAAACCAATTCCTCTATAATTTTTACAATCTCTGCATATATAGTGGCTTAATAAAATAATATCTTTATTTCTACATGTACAAGGTATACAGGCCTAGCTGACATCAAAGACATACTACTACATAGAAAGCAGCTTGTTATGCAGAGCATTTTGGGCAGATTAGGTCAGTTTTTGTCTCAGGATGCGACCCACACCAGTTGACTAACACCCAGGTACCCATTTTACTGATGGGTGAACACAGACAACTAGTGTAAAGAAACACACTCAATGTTTCTACCCTTGCTGGGAATCAAACTCAGACCCTCACTGTGTGAAGCAAGAGCTTCAGCCATAATCTAACGTAAAAAAAAAAAAAAATAGTGCCAATAAACTTACTACACTATAACCCAAAATAACTTTTTCTTACAATCATGTACAATGATATGCTCCTGTAGTCTTAAGTTAAGCTTAAGTTTGCCCAAAATGTTCTGCATAACTACGGGCATGCAACATGCACTCCAATATCATCCATTTCTGTATAAAGAATGCATCATGTTGAAATCAACTTGTATTTGTAAAGTTGTATGTGGCAAGTTCTGGGTATTTTGGATGACTTAGTCAGCCAAAATACCAAAGAACTGTTCACAGTGTATATATTGTCTATATCTGGACAATATATCCTTACATGGGTTCATATCTGACTAAATCTTATTAAAAAGGTACTGCAAGCTCTATAATGGTATAGTTCTCTAAGGGAATATAATATTGTAGTATGTATCGACTGCCTTGAAAGTTTGGGAAGTGCTAAACCCGTAGGATTATACAGTGCCTGTGGGGGGATGGAAGGTATTCAGGCTTAATTCAGGGAACTGTAGCACAGATCAAATTCCCTAGATCAAGAGCCCCTCACCAGCATCAAGGAACCTCCCTTGAGAACAGAAGTGCAAATAAGGAATTCATATTTATTTGGAATAATTACAAATAGCTGTCATTTTATGTACTTCATATATAGTGACATTACGACAACCAAGAATATCCCCGGAATTCAAAGTCCATTAACGACTGATCGTGTAGTTACTTTCTGTCAGGTTGCAGTGACCCTCATGCCCAGCCTAGACTGGGGTTCCTCATTCTTAGTCCTCCCATAAGTGGCACCGTCTTCCTCTGGTGGTCAATAACGGTAGACCTAAGTAATTTATTTAGGTACAGGTACAAATAAGTACAATTATCACAGTATAAATTACCAAAGATAACCTAAAAGAAGCTAAAGTGACTTATTTCCACTTATTTCTCTGTGACTTCATGCACAGTGGTCAGCTTTCTCAACTTTGTCTCTCCCAGTGGCCCTGTGCCTCTTCCCAGTGTCTTAACAATATATTAGTAGTGCAGTAGGCCTACTGGCCTGAGCAACTGGCTTATGATAGTGACTCAAACTAATGGCTCATGTTAGGCAGGTCCTCCTCACACCCAGCCATTCCCACATATATTTTTAACCTGGTGCCCCAGGGCACTTCACGAGGTTGGCCTTGGTACAAGTGGCACTCCAGTAGTGTTGAGTGGCACCAGGGTTAGCCAGGGCCAGCCAGGGCCAGCCAGGGCCAGCCAGGGTCAGCCAGATTCAGCCAGTGCCAGCTAGAGCCAGCCAGGGACAGCCAGTGCCAGCCACGGACAGCCAGGGACAGCCAGTGCCAGCCAGGGACAGCCAGGGACAGCCAGTGCCAGCCAGGGACAGCCAGGGACAGCCAGTGCCAGCCAGGGCCAGCCAGGGCCAGCCAGGGCCAGCCACTGCCAGCCAGGGCCAGCCAGGGACAGCCAGTGCCAGCCAGGGCCAGCTAGAGCCAGCCAGTGCCAGCTAGAGCCAGCCAGTGCCAGCCAGGGCCAGCCAGTGCCAGCTAGAGCCAGCCAATGCCAGCCAGTGCCAGCTAGAGCCAGCCAGGGCCAGCCAGTGCCAGCCAGGGCCAGCTAGAGCCAGCCAGGGCCAGCCAGTGCCAGCCAGGGCCAGCTAGAGCCAGCCAGTGCCAGCTAGAGCCAGCTAGAGCCAGCCAGTGCCAGCTAGAGCCAGCCAGGGCCAGCCAGTGCCAGCCAGTGCCAGCTAGAGCCAGCTAGAGCCAGCCAGTGCCAGCTAGAGCCAGCTAGAGCCAGCCAGGGCCAGCCAGTGCCAGCCAGTGCCAGCTAGAGCAAGCCAGTGCCAGCCAGGGGCTTCCCGACCTTGGTCACCACCAGGCTACACTGAAGCCACCTACACAGTGGTGGTGGTGGTATCTAACCTTGCAGTGAGTGCTGTAGAGTCGGTGTATGATGCGTGGTGAAGGTAATATTGTGGTGATAATTTTGGAGGCAGCAGTGAAGGCCATAGTGATGATATCCACCTCAAGGACGGCAGATGATCCTTCCTCTCTCACCTCTCCTCGCTCCCTCCTCTCCTCTCTTACTACTTTATTCCCTTCGGTCTCCGCCTGCTGCAGCTACCACTGCGCCCCCACTACCAGTTTTGCAATAGCGTCACTGATTACAGTGTAAAATGGTGGGAATTCCTGGGCAGGTTACTCATAATAGTCTTCCCTCAGATGCACTGTTCTCGCGGCCTAAATTAAAAAAAAAATGAACAAAATTAAATGTTTATAGAAAAAGAAGACAATTACTTTAAATATTATTTTACGGTTATATATAAGCAATACTTATCAAATGTTTCACTTTAGTAAATGCTGTTGAAAGTAATAATATTTAGTATGGTTTCCTCTGAGTGAAAATAAAGTAGGTCTCGTAGCCCTTCAACCCAACACCAGTGCTTAATATTTTACATATTAAAACACTGCCCTTATCTTAATATTTTATTTATTTGGAACATTTCCTCGGTCTTATAACCCGCATATTAAAATAGTACATAGAGAATTCCTTGGTTTCATAATCCGTCAGTTTGTTATATTCAGACTGTTTCAATATTTTATGAAAATGTCTGACGGTCGCCTAATATATTAAGGAGGAAAGTATAATTATGTAAATGAGATAAGATTTTCTTCGGATTTTTAACCCCGGAGGGTTAGCCACCCAGGATAACCCAAGAAAGTCAGTGCGTCATCTAGGACTGTCTAATTTATCCCCCCCCCCCCCAAAGATTATATATAAGCTGGTGGTCAAGTTTTTGTTCGAAAGAGATTTCGTCTGTAACTTGAGAATTATTCTTCCTCTAGAGCAATTTACTGGGATACTTCTAGATTACTAGTTTACTCTGAGATACTTCAACATTACTAGTTTACTCTGGTGTCCTAGTCGCTCCCTCTGTAATTAGTATTTTATAACATGTAAACCACAAAATACCCAAAACCTGTAAACCCCACACTGTAACCATTACAGAGAATAAACTTGAATTGAATTGAATACCTGGAGAAGGTTTTGGGGTCAACGCCCCCGCGGCCCGGTCTGTGACCAGGCCTCATGGTGGATCAGGGCCTGATCAACCAGGCTGTTACTGTTGGCCGCACACAAACCGACGTACGAACCTCAGCCCAGCTGGTCAGGTACTGACTTTAGGTGCTTGTCCAGTGGCTTCTTGAAGAGAGCCAGGGGTCTGTTGGTAATCCCCCTTATGTATGCTGGGAGGCGGTTGAACAGTCTTGGGCCCCTGACACTTATTGTGATGTCTCTTAACGTGCTAGTGGTGCCCCTACTTTTCACTGGGGGAATGTCGTATCGTCTGCTGAGTCCTGGAGTTTTACCTGGAGAGAGTTCCGGGGGTCAACGCCCCCGCGGCCCGGTCTGTGACCAGGCCTCCTGGTGGATCAGAGCCTGATCAACCAGGCTGTTGCTGCTGGCTGCACGCCAGCAGCAACGTACGAGCCACAACCCGGCTGGTCAGGAACCGACTTTAGGTGCTTGTCCAGTGCCAGCTTGAAGACTGCCAGGGGTCTGTTGGTAATCCCCCTTATGTATGCTGGGAGGCAGTTGAACAGTCTCGGGCCCCTGACACTTATTGTATGGTCTCTTAACGTGCTAGTGACACCCCTGCTTTTCATTGGGGGGATGTTGCATCGTCTGCCAAGTCTTTTGCTTTCGTAGTGAGTGATTTTCGTGTGCAAGTTCGGTACTAGTCCCTCTAGGATTTTCCAGGTGTATATAATCATGTATCTCTCCCGCCTGCGTTCCAGGGAATAATACAGTTTTAGGAACCTCAAGCGCTCCCAGTAACTGAGGTGTTTTATCTCCGTTATGCGCGCCGTGAAGGTTCTCTGTACATTTTCTAGGTCAGCAATTTCACCTGCCTTGAAAGGTGCTGTTAGTGTGCAGCAATATTCCAGCCTAGATAGAACAAGTGACCTGAAGAGTGTCATCATGGGCTTGGCCTCCCTAGTTTTGAAGGCTCTCATTATCCATCCTGTCATTTTTCTAGCAGATGCGTTTGATACAATGTTATGGTCCTTGAAGGTGAGATCCTCCGACATGATCACTCCCAGGTCTTTGACGTTGGTGTTTCGCTCTATTTTGTGGCCAGAATTTGTTTTGTACTCTAATGAAGATTTAATTTCCTCGTGTTTACCATATCTAAGTAATTGAAATTTCTCATCGTTGAACTTCACATTGTTTTCTGCAGCCCACTGAAAGATTTGGTTGATGTCCGCCTGGAGAATTGCAGTGTCTGCAATGGAAGACACTGTCATGCAGATTCGGGTGTCATCTGCAAAGGAAGACACGGTGCTGTGGCTGACATCCTTGTCTATGTCGGATATGAGGATGAGGAACAAGATGGGAGCGAGTACTGTGCCTTGTGAAACAGAGCTTTTCACCGTAGCTGCCTCGGACTTTACTCTGTTGACGACTACTCTCTGTGTTCTGTTAGTGAGGAAATTATAGATCCATCGACCGACTTTTCCTGTTATTCCTTTAGCACGCATTTTGTGCGCTATTACGCCATGGTCACACTTGTCGAAGCTTTTGCAAAGTCTGTATATATTACATCTGCATTCTTTTTGTCTTCTAGTGCATTTAGGACCTTGTCGTAGTGATCCAATAGTTGAGACAGACAAGAGCGACCTGTTCGAAACCCATGTTGCCCTGGGTTGTGTAACTGATGGGTTTCTAGATGGGTGGTGATCTTGCTTCTTAGGACCCTTTCAAAGATTTTTATGATATGGGATGTTAGTGCTATTGGTCTGTAGTTCTTTGCTGTTACTTTACTGCCCCCTTTGTGGAGTGGGGCTATGTCTGTTGTTTTTAGTAACTGTGGGACGACCCCCGTGTCCATGCTCCCTCTCCATAGGATGGAAAAGGCTCGTGATAGTGGCTTCTTGCAGTTCTTGATGAACACGGAGTTCCATGAGTCTGGCCCTGGGGCTGAGTGCATGGGCATGTCATTTATCGCCTGTTCGAAGTCATTTGGCGTCAGGATAACATCGGATAGGCTTGTGTTAACCAAATTCTGTGGCTCTCATAAAAAATTCATTTTGATCTTCGACTCTCAGTCTGGTTAGCGGCTTGCTAAAAACTTGAGTCATACTGGGACTTGAGTTGCTCACTCATTTCCTTGCTGTCATCTGTGTAGCACCCATCTTGTTTAAGTAGGGGCCCAATACTGGACGTTGTTCTCGACTTTGATTTGGCATAGGAGAAGAAATACTTTGGGTTTCTTTCGATTTCATTTATGGCTTTTAGTTCTTCCCGCGATTCCTGACTCCTATAAGATTCCTTTAGCTTAAGTTCGATGCTTGCTATTTCTCTGACTAGTGTCTCCCTACGCATTTCAGATATATTGACCTCTTTTAGCCACTCTGTTATTCTTTTCCGTCGCCTGTAAAAGGAGCGCCTGTCTCTTTCTACTTTACATCTACTCCTCCTTTTTCTTAGAGGAATAAGCCTTGTGCTTTCATTTATTTATTTATTTATTCATATGCAAATAGTACATTGAGATTATGTATTTACAATAATAAGTAAGTTTATTCAGGTATACACAAATACAGTTACATAGATTATCATACATAACAGCATATGTGTAGAGAACCTGGGATAACCCAAAAAAGTCAGAGTGACTTATTTCCATTGGGGTCCTTTTACCTTATTATTATTATAATATAAAGGCTATAATATCTTATTATTATTCTATAATAAATATAACATCTTATTATCATACTAAAAAGACTATCTACTACACGAGGGTCATTAAGACTATCTACAATACGAGGGTCATTACTAGGAATAAGGTAAAATTACACGTGTGTTAGCTAAAAAAATAAAAAATCATTCCCCTCCCTTTCTGTAGCTACATTCATCAGACACCTTTTGGCACTCTTCTTGAACTGGTTCATGCTATGACTGGCTTTGACATGTGCGGCCAGTCTGTTCCAGTCATTTATTACTGTACAATAAAAGGTGTTTGAAGCCTGGCCACTGACTGTGGGTACTACAAAGTTGTGCTCTCTCCCCCTAGTACTATGATTGCTTTGGTTCCCAACCTTGACAAAATTGACAGCAAGATATTCTGGACACTGTTTGTGACCAATTTTATAAACATGATTTAGCTTCAGTTGTTTTACTCTGTCTTCAACATTCATCATATCCAACTGCTGTAATTCATCCTGGCCTACATGCTCTATTGGACCCAGGTCCAGAATGAATCTTACTATTTTGTTCTGGGTGGCTTGCAGTTTTATCTTTCAGTTTTTTTGTCAAGGAAGAGCACCATGAAGAGTAAGCGTAATCCATATGACGTTGTATAAGGGCTAGATATAGGGTCCCGCGAGCCTCAGTAGGTAGACACTGCTTGTCTATACAGGAACTTCAGTCTGGCATTCGCTTTCTTTACTACACTGTTCCCAATCAATTCTCGTGACATGCATGGGTCAAAGATATTTTACTGAGGAAACTGAAGTAATGGACTTCCCATCACAATGGACATAAAAATTATTTACCCTTCTCAATTTGTTTCGTGCCAAAGAGAATGGCTTCAATTTTCCCGAAGTGTGATGATAGTTTGTTGTCTACTAACTGTGGGACTCCAGTTCAGTGTTAATACATTAGCTATATCTTGTGGGTCTTTACCTGACACTAACAGAGCACTATCATCTGCATACAATAGGAGTTTGCACTTGACACTGATAGGCATGTCATTAACATAGCATAAGATTAATAAGGGACCCAGAATACTACCTTGGGGAACTCCACATGTTATCGGCAGGGGTTCTGATTCCGTTTTGTTTATTTTGACAATTTGTCTCCTGTTGCTAAGGTAGGACTTAGACCAGTCTACAGAACCTATACCGATAGCTTGAAGTTTCTTACATAATATATTGTGGTTGACAGTATCGAAGGTCTTTTGCAGGTCTAAGGGGCCTGTAGGGCAATTAATTGTTGTTTTTTTGTTTACCGTCAGATTTCCTTCAGTTTTGGTGCACAAGACGAAGTGTTTTCTCTCTTTCCTGAAAACATTTATCAAAAATAAACCTCAAACAACAACTGAGAAAAGACTGAAAAAGGACTGATTTAGAGAAAATGCCCTTTGGCAGGAAGGTAGTCCTACATGGGACGACGTAAGGTTGTTTGGACACTTGGTGCCGAGAGAACAATGCTAATACTAATTGACCGCGAGGCCTTTCCTCTAAATAACTT